GGATGTTGGAGTGGCAGTGCGCCAAGGTTACGCCGAGCGTCAAACAGCTGTTTGAAATTGAACGAAACCACGCCAGACTATCCAAATCTGGAATCGAACGTCCCTCCTCCCCCAGAACTACACATGCTGGCTATTGTGTTTCGCAAAATGTTCTATGGGACGTCTCTACTGAACGTTTTCGTTTTTCCCACAATTAGAAGTTGCCAGTATTAAACACATTGGTGTTATCAACATATACAGTAATTAATAAATGGGTGAAAATCGCTTGTGTCTATAATGCGCAGCATTAATATATACCCACATGACAGCTCATTGTTACTTTGTAATTCTACTCCACTACAATTCAGAGGCTAACCTGGTATTTTTACTCCATTACATGTATTTGAGTTACTTTGCAGATTCTGATTAATGATGTGAAATACAAATAACCCTTAAATCAGACTTCAGTCTGTTTGTGTGGATATGTAGCAAATTAACATTTTAAATAGTACTTAATGACTGACTGAATGGAAATGACAATAAATGAAAATGTAAAACGAAAAAAGCGATCATGAAAATGTTTCCAATAAATGAATAAAATGATTTTTGACCACTTTGTTGTTCAGATATATCACATATTTGTAACTAATTGATACATGAATTGAAAAAAAAAAGTGACTCCTGTGAGTTTCATGTGTTTTATTCACACCGCTGGTAAACTGCTCTCATGTCAAGAAGCAACAGATCAGTGCATGCGCTGCATCGTCCAGTCAGTGAGCGATACACAGTAAGGGGGCGGGGCGAGTGTCTGAGGATTTCACCGGAGGATGGTCTGGTACTTCCTCAATTTTCGCTCCTCCGTTATCACTCCTCGGTCCTCCAGCAAAAATAAGGCCACTGGGACGCTACTCAAGATGACGCAGACAAATCAACTTCCGGAGATACCGAGCCCGAGGACCGAGGAAATGAAAAATAACCGAAGTGAGACGCACCCCAGGAGTCATTGGAATTTGCTTATCCCATCAACATGTGATCTTTGGATTGGAGCATGTTCCACCAGCTGCAGGCGCAGGGGCTGCAAGCATTTGACTCCAACAAGGTGTCATCTTGGTACCTCTTGTGGTTGCTGCAAAGTGTGTATGGCCAGGACTGGAGGAGCAGCTTTTATCTGGAGAGGATACATGTGTGTGGCATTATGGTGGTGTCAGCACCTCTAAAATATAAAACCACAGCATGCTCTCATTGGAACACGAGATTTCTGATCAGGTTGAGGGGGTGCATGAGGGGCTCTAAGGAGCAGATGAAGAGGGGTTCAGGCCCTTAGCTGACAAAATTGCTCAGCTAAACGTATCTTTGTGAATATAACAAATGGTCAGTAATGTCCTGATACCGGCCCGGTTTAAAACCATACCAATATGAGTCGTGTTCATGAACTGCTGCTGTCCTGTGCTGTGCAGGTGCTGTCTGATATGACCATACTCCAGCGGAGGATCCCCCCCAGTTTCAGAGACCCTGCCAGCGCACCACTGAGGAAACTCTCTGTTGACCTCATCAAAACTTACAAGCACATCAATGAGGTATGACACACACACACACACTTTTCTGGGTTTAAACACAATTTTAGGTATTGAAAGTATTTACCTTTTTTTTTTGTGCCATACGAAATGAGTGCCTGCCAGATATTGCATATGTTGGCTATGGGATGAAAAAAATGCAGGTCCCTGCCACCATGGGTTTTCCTTATCTAAGGAAATATACTGTATATATGTTTTTAAAGCAATTCTTAAGTCAACTATAGAAAGCAGACCTTTACAAATGCTATTCCCTTTAAAGTAGAAAATGATCCTTGTTCCCATCACAAATTGTTACGGGTTGTTCCGTGGCCCATGCTACACGCCTACATCATTTCCATGAAAATTGGGACAGTCATTTTCTCAACTCAGCTGATTTAACCGGCTCCTAGTCCCTGAGAAGAATGACGGTAGTTGGAGGTTTGGGGTCTTTTAGATGGACTAGGAAGCAGAACAGGGTCCTGATCTGTTCTAATCCCCAGGTGTACTATACTAAGAAGAAGCGACGGGCCCAGCAGGTCCCTCCAGAGGACAGCAGCACCAAGAAGGAGAGGAAAGTCTACAACGACGGCTATGACGACGACAACTACGACTACATTGTCAAAAATGGAGAAAAGTGGCTGGACCGCTATGAGATAGACTCGCTGATCGGGAAGGGCTCCTTCGGACAGGTGAGGCCAAAATCTATCTGAAGTCAAAAGTATTGGCAGGAGAAAAGTACCAAAAATAAAAGTACTCATTTAGTAGCCCATTTTAAAATTATATTTATTCTATATATCATATCATATTTTGACTATTGATGCATCAATGTGCTCATCAAAGCTAACAATTCCTGCTAGGAGCTACATTTGATTACTTTTGATACAGCTGCTGGATATTTGAACCTATAATTATACACCATCATTTGTATTGTGAAAACCAATACAAATTAAATCAATAACAACTTCAATTAATAATAAAAAAACCCGCCCTGCTAAATTGTTATGTTAAACAAAGGAATCGTTAGCAACCTGGAAAGTGGGACCATTCACTGTAGTTGACTCCACGGGTTATATACAAGGCAGGCTCCAGTTTTGCTGCATCTAATGAAGGAAATGCAAGATTCCGGCATGGCGTGACGAATGTGTTGATGTGTGTCTGCAGGTGGTGAAGGCCTACGACCACCATGAGCAGGAATGGGTCGCCATCAAGATCATCAAGAACAAGAAGGCATTTCTAAACCAGGCTCAGATTGAACTACGCCTACTGGAGCTCATGAACAAGCATGACACTGAGATGAAATATTACATAGGTAAGAAGGACAACACAAAGGGTACAGGGGTCAGAAAAGCACTGTTGGACCCCAACCAGAACTTTGAAGAAGGAAGCTCAGCAATATATTATAGAAGTACGCAAAACAATAAAGCGATATCAAGGCTTGTGTACTGTAGTCGGATGACGTGTTTCTCAAATGCACCTCAATAACTTTGACCCACTGATAAGGACTGCTTATATAAGATGTTAGTTATACAGAATCCCAACATTGGAATCGGGGAGGCCCTATTTGGCTTTTTGGTATTCCCTTTCCTGTAGTGTGGTATATAGACCATTTATCTAACACATACTATGACAGCACACTGGTTGGGGTCAAATGTATTATGAAAGAAAACATTCCATGACCCCTTACCTCACCTTACTTGGAAATTAGGAATTCAAATAGCATTTATTTCAGCCAACACTCCAAAAGTCTGTGTTATTCAAAGAACTGATTTAAAAGTTTTCCTGTACTCATTCTAACCTCCTTCTTTGTCTCCCTTCTCCTGTCTGGGTGCAGTCCACCTGAAGCGTCACTTTATGTTTAGGAACCATCTCTGTTTGGTGTTTGAGTTGTTGAGCTACAACCTGTACGATCTGCTGAGGAACACCAACTTCAGAGGCGTCTCCCTCAACCTCACCAGGAAGTTTGCACAGCAGCTGTGTACAGGTGGGGGGCCTCCACACACTCATGAGTCACATGTGCTTTTAGCTTCTCGTTGTCTGCCCCCGAGTGGCGGAAAAAAAGAATGCACTTCTTCTTTATCAAATCATAAAGAAAGACCGTTGTAAATCACATTCAGTAGGTCATAATCAAATGATTTTGGGTTTCTTTTATCCACAGCATTATTATTCCTGGCCACTCCAGAGCTGTCAATCATCCACTGCGACCTGAAGCCTGAGAACATCCTGCTGTGTAACCCCAAGAGATCTGCCATCAAGATTGTGGACTTTGGATCCTCTTGCCAGTTGGGGCAGAGGGTGAGCAGCGTTCATTTGTCAAATTGCATTTATTAAAGTCTATGTATTAAATCGCCGTTATTCCCTGTGGCGCGTGCTTGCTGGGGGAAGCTCCGCCCTCAGGTGATACTCATCATCATCATTTGGGTTAGAAAGATCAATGAATTCAAGTAACACTGCAATACCTATGTTAGTATAAAATCAAACATCTGTTATGGTTTTGTACAAAATCATTTGACCTTTTTTTGGTCTAATGTGTTTTAAAATTCTGCATTTCGGTCATTTGTATTTGAGTTAATCAGCAGTATTTTGTGTCTATGGAAAGGTTCAATGCACAAACCAAAAAAAAAATTGAGAAGAGTTCAAGAGGCAGCAACAGACTTCACTGTCGCTCTGTTAATGGAACATGGCTCCTCCTAGTGGACAGCTACTGAAACAGCAGGCAACCAGAGTTGGGAGGGTTACTTTAAAAATGTAATCTGTTACATTTACTAGTTATCTGGGATGTAAAATGCACATAAAAAATTGAGAAAATAAATATTAATAGGATGTTTTTTACTTAAATGTAACAACAGAAAAATGTGACCTTAGAAAAGAAGAAACTAAGATATTTAGGATCAAAAATCCTAACCTGCCTTTCATTCAGCATATTCAGGCAGCAGTCTATACACCAAAAATGAAACACATGAGCACATACTACAGTTTAAAAAAAGCAGAAATAAAATCTAGCTCCGTTTTAGTTTACAGTTAAAACTTTAAAAAAAGCTTCAAGGTATAATAACATTACTGTGTTCATGTCTGTCCTCCTCTCAGATCTACCAGTACATCCAGAGCAGGTTCTACCGCTCTCCGGAGGTGCTGCTGGGCATGCCCTACGACCTGGCCATCGACATGTGGTCTCTGGGCTGCATCCTGGTGGAGATGCACACAGGAGAGCCTCTGTTCAGCGGCTCCAACGAGGTGAGCCCTCAATATTAACTCTGCATTTAACTGTTCAGAAGAAAAGTTAGTGAAACAACTTACAGGAGGAATTGAAAAATGGATATATATTTGTATTTAGTATTAGAAGATTAGACACATTCTCCATGTTGACATGCGTTTGTGTGTGTTTGTAGGTGGACCAGATGAATAAGATTGTGGAGGTGTTGGGGGTTCCACCCGCCCACATGCTTGACACGGCCCCTAAAGCCAGGAAGTATTTTGACAAGCTGTCAGATGGCCTGTGGACAGTGAAGAAGAACAAGGACATCAAGAAGGTATCTGATCCATTTCAAAGTTTTATTCAAAGGACAACTCACTCTTCTGTGTGTGGGTGCTGCACCGTTGTTTTTGTGAGAAGTTTATCAAAAACTATTCATGACAAATCTATATTTTGCAAATATGTCCATGTTTCAGAGCAGCAAGTACCTCCCTTATCATGTGTCACCACACATTTGTTTCTGTATCTTAATATTTGTGCATGGTGTGTTTCCAGGAGTATAAGCCCCCGGCCACGCGGCGTCTTCATGAGATCTTGGGTGTGGAGACTGGAGGCCCAGGGGGCCGCAGGGCAGGGGAGCCGGGACACGCCCCCTGCGACTACCTGAAGTTTAAAGGTGAACAACACACACTGAGGGGTTCTATTTACATCCATATAAATACAATCAATAAGGCAGTCAAATTCCAGATGAAGAGGAACATTTTTGGGGAAGTCACTGTTGTCAGGCTGCGTTACTGACAATCACCAATGTCAACATGTGCTACATGTGCAGCAGGAACAGAAGTCCGTCCTCATTCCCTGCATTTTTTCCTAAATACTGTGAATTCACTAACAAAGTTGAAGTTAAATGAATTGTTTTTCATTGTTCCAGGTGATACATTTATTAAAATGTCAAATGAACACCCATAATTGTCATTGAAACACCACACACACCTGCGAGCTGAAGACACATCAGAATTTAGACAGTAGATCTCATCCAAAATAAATGCCTGAGTCAGTGTGTGGAGCAGCAAGTGGCTCATCTCTTTAGCCAGTCAGGAGCCAGAACAAAGCTGTTCATTAAGTGGAAATTACATTTTGTCAAAAGCTTATTGGTCAACACAATGTGCAGGTAACGTACCGTAATTTTCGGACTATAAGGCTCACCTGAATATAAGCCGCAGCAGCTAAATTGAATGATGTGTACATATATAAGCCGCACTGGACTATAAGCCGCAGGTGTTTTAATGTTTAATTACCATATGTAAGGGTTCGTGCACAGAGGGGATTGTCGGGGAAAGAGATGGCTGTTTGAGGAAGCTCCCATTTATTAACATTTCAACAAACAAGTTGCATATTTGCATAACGTATTCAAGTGTTACCATTTAGTGCAATAGTAGCCACAGAACATGTACTGTGCTGTGTAAACTGTACTGTATCACATAGCGTTTCAGACACACAAACTTTTCAACTTTCAAACTTAAACGGTGCGCTCCCAGCGCACGTACCGGCAGTGATCGACAGCAGTGGTTTTCAACCAGTGGTACGGGGACAAACTGTCTCGCTCTCGTAATGTCTGTCTGTCTTGCTCTCGTTCTGTCTCTCGTACCACTCTCGGTTCCACTTTTACTTTTGCGCGCTACCTGTCTCACTCTTTTCCGGCCTCCAGCTTTTCCTGCTGGAGCCCGCCGCTTACAGGTGGGGGGCGCGGACCGGCCATAGAGCCCATAGAGTTAAAGGTGGTGGACTGTAACCTGTAAAATCCATAGATTTAGGAGGTCCCCTAGTGGTCGTTAGCTGTAAAAATCCATAGATTAGCCGCACCGTTATATAAGCCGCAGCGTTGAAAAATGGGAAAAAAGGCGCGGCTTATAGTCCGAAAATTACGGTACTCCATATTGACTTAGTTCCTGTGGCTAAATATTATCCTCATCATGTCCCGTAGATCTGATCCTGCGCATGCTGGACTATGACCCAAAAAGCCGCATCACGCCATTCTACGCCCTGCAGCACAATTTCTTCAAGAAGACGACAGATGAAGGAACCAACACCAGTTCATCGACGTCCACCTCTCCTGCCATGGACCACTCCCATTCAACCTCCACTACTAGCTCTGTTTCTAGCTCTGGTAAACACACAACTACAACTAATCAGCTCTGGGAAAACGATTCATCATAAAAAGTACAAGTGTGTACTGCTGTGCTGTGTTTTGTTTAACCTGGCTATGTTTTGTCTCTAGGTGGCTCCAGTGGTTCTTCCAATGACAACCGCAACTACCGCTACAGTAACCGCTACTACAACTCTGCTGTTACACACTCAGACTATGAGATGACCAGCCCTCAGGTACACACAGCTGACATACACTGTCCTGGAATACACTCACAGCAGTAGTGAAATATAGCACTGCCATCTAGAATACCACATTTCAGTTTAGGGATATATTGTGCAACATTTAAAGAGTAATCGAATTTCGATCTCATTAAAGATCCTGTCCTAATAGAGAAGGTAAATTGAAATGTTTTGGAGTTGCAAAAATGTGTGAAACAACACCTCATACTGTACCATAAGAGAATAGAGATAAAAGCACTGACCACATGGTGGAGCTATGATGCTACTCAACCCTCAAATAAAAGTGACCCTGTTGTTGCTCCTGAGCAGGACTTGTCCCCACAGCAGATTGTTGTGTTGCTTTTAGTTTCTTCATGATTGCATCTCATCCTCCCAGGCTCCCTCCCAGCAGCAGATGAGGATGTGGCCCGGCAGTGATGGTGGAGGTGGGGGTCAGGACCCAGCATACACCCAGTTGCTGCTCCACAAGCCGGCTGCCTCCCAACAGCACCAGCGCCACTTCCTGGACGCGCCCCACCACCCGCACCCGACCTACTCCCACCACGGGAACGGTGGCCGTGGCCTGCGGCAGGGCGGACAGACGGGCATCGGTGGAGTGGGGGGCCAGCAGGGATCCTCGCCCCAGATGAGTGACAGCATGGATGTGGGCGTGTCCCTAGGGCTGCACCACCTGGGGGCGGTGTCTTCCATGGAGGCCTCTCAGTTCGGCTCGGCCTCCCTGCCCCTCGCTCTGCCAATCGGACTGTCAGCCTTCCGGACTCGGACGGCCCCCACCGCCCCAGGGCCACAAGCCCCGCCCCCTGAGGACTACTACCCTGCGTCCAACAACAATAACCCCGCTGGGGGGGGCAGAGGGAGGCCGGACTCAGACGAGGGGCCAGCCAACTCTTGATAAAACCTGAACCATGCCCTAAAGCCATACAATTTTAACTACAACTACTACAACTACACACACAGCCAGAGTTCAGAGACAAAGAGGTGAACTTTGTGCTGCAGGAGACAGTCTGTACTGCATGAGAGGAGGAGGAGGAGGGGGGGAGGAGGAGAGGGAGAGGAGGAGGAGGATGCTGGGAGAACTCTCCTTTTATCCCGTTTTATTTTTTTGTCTTTTGTTGCGACTGTAATTGGAAAGGAATGATTGTGACAAGTTTGTTTTTATTAATATTATTATTATTGTTGTTTAATATTATTTGATTTTTTCTCGGGTTTGAGGAGTTGTGTGTTCTACTTGGTTGTTGTTTAAGCCTGGAGAGGAGGAGGACGAAGAGAGGAGACATGCTTTTTGATTTGATCTCCATTCAGATTACCTGTTAGTTCCGGCATTACAGTTTTCCATATTAACAGTCAACACACACACACACACACACACACACACACACACACACACACACACACACACACACACACACACTGTTGCATCAAGAAGATAGAGGCTGGTGTGAAGGGAGGAGACGGCACCACGTGTGGTTTGGGACTCATGGATGGTCTCTGTGTTGAACTCTTCTTCTCCACCTTTCTCTGCTGCTCCCCCCCGGCTGTGACAGAGGATGGAGAGAGGGAGGGCGGTGGAGGGAGGAGAAGGTGGCGGGACACTCGTAGGGATCTCCTTCTCCTCCTAGTCCCCCCCCCCCGTCCCTGCCCTGCTTTCTTCTTTCTCTCCTCCTCCTCCTGTTGTTTCTCCTCCAGACAGCTCCTCCTCTCTGTGCTGCTAATCACCATGACAACTGGTCCGGATTGCTGCTAAAGATCCAACACAGATCAATAAAGAAATAAAAAGAAATAGAAACAGAAATTTAAAAAAAAACTTTTTAACCCTTCTGCTTAAGAGAAAAGGATAAAGTAAGAACCACTGCATCTCAATGTATTTATTACTATTTAACAAGAAAAAACAAACTGAAAGTAACCCTTTTTTCTGCTCTTCTTTGTTTGGTTGCCTTCTTTCTGCAGGTGAGCTCTGATTGGCTATTGTAACAGTGACAGTAACTGGTGACATGGGAATGCCACCGGTTGTGGGGGCTGGGTGGAGGGGAGGGGTTTGGGGCAAAATAAAGTTGGATATATAATAAGAATAAAGAGTATACTTTTGCACACCAAAGTTAAACAAACATCAGATCTCCGCTTTTCTTCCTACTAATCTGATCCTTTGTTCCTCCTGTAGACTGCGAACTGTGGCCAAAGGTCCGAGGGAGTGTTCAATATTCACTAAAGATAAGACATAACAATACAATCACAACTTCAATACACACTCAACCAATGTGCTCATCAGACAAAGACTGGTGAAACATTGTTTAAGGAAGAATTCATCATAGAGGCCCCATAACACTTCTATATGTTTCCCTCTCCTGTAGTGTGTTATTTACTGTAGGTTTCTGTGTTCATGTCAACGGTCTGCAAAGGCTCACAACCCTGTGTTCCCTCCAATGGGAGTTTTTCTCCCCCCCTTCCTTAAACGCCTTCATTGGACTCCTTTGTTTACTTCTGTAACATAGTGACATCACACGCTCTGGTTTCAGACAGAGGGTGAAAAGAGGTGCTGCAGCACAGGCAGTATGAGAAAAATAAAGAGCTTTTACATTCAAATAAACTTATCACAGAGGCAAAATATGAACCTGAAAATTAGCATAATATGTCCTCTTTAAATTGGTCAGATGGCCACATTTCTTAAAGGTCTCCTATCATGCAAAATATACTTTTTGATGTCTTTTATAGACAAATATGTGTCCCCGGTGTGTCACAACTCACAAAGTGTCAGTAAACAAAACCCTCTCTCTTTTCCTCCGTACTCAAATCTCTAAAAACGGGGGTACAACAGAGCTGATCCAGATTTGCTGACAATATGACGTAATACCGGAAATGTGGGCTGCCTTTACACCCACGGACCTATCGGAAACGTCGCTACATTGCGTGACGTGTTTTAGAAGTAATATGGTCTTTTTTCACATTAGCAAGCATCTCTAACGCTGTAAAATAGCAGGATATAAAAAGGTACTCACCTTGTGGTAAACCCGCTAGAAAAAAAGCATTTGAGCTCCATACTGTTTTAGAAATAATCCTTGATGTGGTTTGGAACATGATATGGTATTTAATCACGGCAGCATTTAGCTGTATCTGAGCAGTACTCTTCTCTCTGGAGCTCAAAGTGTGCTGCTCCAAAGGGGGCAGGGGGCCAGCATCAGCCCAGTTCAAATGTGAAGCTGCTGACCCAGAATCAGCACTTCTCTAACAGGGCTGGAATAGAGGGATATGAGGGATGTCTAAAATGCATGATCTGTTTGGTATTTTGAGCAACACATCATATACATGTTTTTATATATTTTTATATATCTAATCTGACACCCTTAATATATGCCTAAAAATAGCATAATAGGAGGCCTTTAATGTTAAATACTTTTGGACTTATCTATATAGATAAGTCTTCAAAATGCTTAAAGATAGTGGTCACTGTAGGAATAACATTAAGACGCATACAGTTATTTGCAATTGACAATATTTTTGGCGGATTTTGCACCACCTTAGTAACTATTAACTAATGTTTATCATTTGTTGTTTTCATGAGGCAAATCCCAACGCCTTGAAAGAGACAACAGACAGCAGCAGCATCATTCAGCACAGAACTGATGGAGGAGATAATCTGCTGATAGAAAAGAGTCAAAGCTGACAGCTATAGGCCTACTGATCTCAGACCAGTGGATAATATTTCATGAACTAATTGTCAGAGAGAGTTGCTGATTTTTTTGTGACTTAGTTTCCATAGAAGTCTATTAGTGCACATGTAAAATGGTGGGAAGTCTAGGCTGTGTTTATTATGGTCCACACACTCTGTAGCAGATTCATCAATACACAGTTTACTGTTTGCTTTACTCACATTTGTATCACCATGGTAACCAGAGTAGACCCCTTTGGTAAGCCATCAGCTATCACGCTCCTGACACAGGCCTGTGGCACAAAGTAGGACCACTGCTGTATATCACCATGGTAACCTATGCTGCACGCTTCAGAGGATCAGATCAAACCGCTGATATCTCATCTGATCACATGATCACTGCTAGAATCAAAGGATTTTCTAAACCGGTTTCAAAACATGGATTGTTAAACTAAATAGTGCAAAATACGAAGATTATTGGAAATAAGAGGTAGAATTATTGTGAATTATAAGAGAATAACACATACTGTTAATGTAAAAGGAACATTTTGGTCAAAGAGAGGTTGCCTGGCATGAACTAAGTTTCTTTTTCTTTTGGCGTCATGGCGTTTATTGTCATTTTGTGTCTCTTTGCGGTCATTTGATTACCTTGAGACACACAGCCTGTGCCTGGTTAGCCCCTCTAGAAATACATCAGTGGCTTACTTATAATATTTGGTACTTTTTTATTCTTTTTTACTGCTACAAGAGTATCACCATTTCGTCCCATTTCCAATTTCCTTCTTTAATAAAAGGCAATCATACGAATACTGTATACGAAAAATGATATTGATAAATTCAATTGTCCCCTTCCTAGCCCCCTACTGTACTTCCTTGCTCGGACCACCAACATCTTTGAACTAGACTTTCATGTTGATCTCAACTACATACCTGCAGGGATTAGTGAATGCATGTCGTGGGTTTTAACGCTTTTGCGGTGACAAGGCTGACTGACAGACACCTGGCAAAGAACTCAAACTCCCTCTGCGATACTTCCTGTTACAGTAGGTGTTTCCAGGAGCACATATTTTTCATTTATGAATTTGATTAAAAGCGGCTCCTGCAAAGATGACAGCCCATGTTGTCATGGGATGACATAATGACCTCAGAATCTCAGCATGTTATTGTGAGGACCCCTCTTAGCACTTGGCAATCCTTTACAACAAAAAAGGAGATCATATATCTAGTAATAGTACACCAACACCACCTAACTCACCAAACGCTTACATTTTTTTTCTACTTTTGATCATTTAACAGTAAAGAGCCATGCCCTAGTTTCCAACCCCTATACTGATAGATCAGCACAAATAGAGGCAGGAGAAGAGAGAAACTTGCACTCGCAAATTGGAAAAGGAAGCTGGGAAGAAAACCAATCACTACAGGATTGCTGGGAATATCCAAGTTCGAGGGGTGTAGAATTTGGTGGACAATGAGGGAATCAACAAAGAAATACTTGCAGCAATAATTGGAATACAGTGGGTTGAAGAGATCAGACCTGATAGTGTGGTGATATGTGCATACTCCTTGTACATCTAAGAAAGCAAACAGTTAGCTACTACTGTCAGAGAAGATTTACTTATTGAACTAAGTCATAGTTTCTTAAAACTTCACAGAGGTGGCATAGTGCCTGCACATGAGGGCCTTAAAGTGTGAGTTGGGTGATAAACTAGCGAGAAGTGCATTACAAAAGGAAAACATGTCCAGTTTCACTTCAAAAATTGAGAAGGAAATAAAAGATTGAGAAGAAAGTAATGGAAATGTGGCAGAACAGGTAGGAGGAAGACCAGAAAGAAAGAGGGCCAATTACAGAAAATAGTAATTATAACGATCTTTAAAGAAAGGAGGGAGGACATCGTCATAACTAGACTCAAGTTGAATCACACAGGATTAAATGGCACCATTTTGGGGAAAAGTGACAGTGAGTGTTGGAACTGTGGAGTAAAGAAAATGTGGGAAATATATTAAATTATACCGTGTTTGAAATAGAAAAGCTAAATGGTGAAGTTTGAGGCAATGCCTGGATGAACAGAAGGGGGGGGGGGGTTAAGAATTAAGAACTACCAGGAAGACACTACTTACTACTTAAAACTGGGTTAAGAAGAAGAAGAAGAAGAAGAAGAAGAAACGAAGAATACAACACGTGACGATACACACTAGCGTACAGTAGGTGGCGGTATGCACCTGTAGCTGTTCGCGAACCGCGAAAGAATCCAGAGAAGAAGAAGAATGTTGTGCTGCTTATGTGATACTCTTCGTTCATCCAGCGCCTAAAACAAAGGTAACACCGTGACCTTTTATTCTTTTTCCATTACTATAATTAAGCCAGTGTCAGTGTTGGTGTGTGTGTTTGATAGTAGCTGTCTGCGAACGAAGTCTGTCTCTTTTTAGCAACGATACAGTCATCCTGTGTTTGTGTTACATATGCTGTTTATCTAACTGTCTGCAGCAGGTAAAGCTCCCTGTGCTACTGACAGCACTAACCAGCCTCCACAAGTTCACTTCCGATATACATTTCTTTTTCTTTTTCTTTAATATGAGCCTCTTTTATAATATATATTATATATATATATAACAATATGCAGACAGTATAGTCCCTGTTCAGCTTCTCTGAGCTGCCCTCATAGTGCTACAGTTTTACACAGGATCTTTTATGGCACCATTATATGTCATTAACTTGCACATAAATGTGGCCTGACAATGCGAGTTGGACAGGAAGCTATGGAAGTTAGTAGGCTACCATTACATATGAGCAAAGGTGGAAAAAGTACTAAAGTAATAGAAAAAGTACCACAGTGTGGAATACTCTGTTACAAATAAAAGTCCTGCTATCAAAATGTTACTCAGGTAAAAGTAGCAAAGTCAGAAATATACTTAAAGTACTAAAAGTAAAAGTAGTCATTCTGCAGATTGGTCCATTTCAGAATAATATATGATGTTTTATAATAATTGATCATTAAAGTGTTATCAAAGCTGGTAAAGGTGCAGCTAGTTGTAATGACTTTGTATACTGCAGGGTAGCTTGTGAATTTACTCCAGGTGGAACTAAAGTCTGATTTAACACTTGATTATATTTCAATCCAAATATGCAAAGTAACTAAAGGTATTAAATAAATGAAGTGGAGTAAAAGTACACCATTTACCTCTCAATTGTATTCGAGTAGAAGTACAAAGTAGCTAAACATGAGACAACAAAAAGTACAAGTCTGTCAAAATTGTACCTAAGTACAGTACTTGAGTAAATATACGTACACCACTGGAAATATGAGATATTACATCCTTCGTCCAAAGAGCAAATATGGGTGAGACTAAAAGCAGGAACTGTGATAGGTATGCAACATATTATGGGGACTCAGAATATTAAATGATACTTATTACAATTATTCTTGATATTAGTATTATTATCTCTATCTGTTATTAATATCTGCTGTTTTACCTAAATGAAACTGTCATGGATGCTAGAAGTGCAGCTGACCTCAGGACAGTTGGGCAGACAACATAGTGCCGAGTCATGATCTGTATCAACAGGCTGCTGAGTCATTATCTGTATCAACAGGCTGCGTTCAGCAGACACACCCGGTAGCTCTGAACTCTGTTCTGTGTTTGCCAGCAGCCAATGACTACAGTTGCAGTACTTGGAGGGGGGATTGGGGGTTTGGCAGCATCCTACTACCTATGCAAGAGCACCCAGGTTACCAAGGTAACACACACACACGCGCGCACGCACAGACTATCTTTAACTAGGGCCTTCTTCAGTGAGGAAAGTGATATGTGCCTTGGAAGAATAACTGCAGGGAGGGAAATATTTGATGTGTAAAATATTGAAAATAAACCAAAGGACTAAACATAATAAGATTTACCTGAAACACATCACCACTGCATTTGACTACATTTGTCTTACCTTTCTGTGTATGTTTCACGTTTCAAACACAAATAGTTTTCCTCCAGGTAATTGTTCTTGAGTCCAGCAGTCGCTTCGGAGGTTGGCTGAGCTCCACCAGGAGGTCGGATGGCGCCGTGTTTGAACATGGACCCAGAGGGATCCGACCTGCGGGGGCAGTGGGACGCAACACCCTCAATATGGTACGGTAAAAGGAACTTAGGAATCTTTTAAAGTTTACGGAAGGTATAACTTTATCTATATCCAGGACACTGTTGTTGAGATGCAGGCAGATACGGGTAGGAATTGAAGGGTTCTGAAGACCCAGTAGTGAATTTTCTGTGTGATGTGTGTGTTTAGGTCGATGATCTGGGTCTCGGCGGGGAAATTCTGCCGGTCGACTACAGTCATGTCGCCTCTAAGAACAGATATGTGTACTTGAACAAACAGCTGCACAGGATGCCTTCAGGGATAAGGTGAGACTGTAGAAAAGTGTTGTGCCATGACAGGCCATTCACCGATAATGACACACAACAGGGATAACACCTCCCTGCTGAGTAGCTAGGGAATGCATTTGACCTTCATGAGCTGTGGGATCGTACCTGGTACAGTGGCTGCAGAACTGTCTGAATGTTCAGTTAAAGGTGAAATGGACATGATGGTGACATTACAAGGACATTTCGGTTGCTAACTAACAATCTGATCCTTTGCCTGATTAATTAATTAATTTCTATTTCTCTCTCTCTCTTCCCATCTCTTCGTCTCTCTTTCAGTGGACTTCTGCGCACTGTGCCCCCTTTCTCTCGTCCCCTACTGTTGAACGTTGCCAAGGAGATACTAGTGAGGAAAGGCAAGGAGGATGACGAGTCCATCCATTCATTTGTTTCTCGGAGGCTTGGAAAGGAGGTGATCTTTCTCAAAGAATATACAGGATAGACTTACATAAGATGAACTCATTAACCAGAATGAAATCAGATTCACTTTTATTTGACACCAGTAGTCTGTCTCATGTGGTGATAAATACTGCCATTGTCTGACCTCTCCTTCCTCTGTGTGCAGCTGGCAGACATAGCTGTGGACAGTTTGTGTCGGGGTGTGTTTGCGGGTGACTGCAGGAAGTTGAGCGTGCGTTCTTGCTTCCCTGTCTTGTTCAATGCAGAGCAGCGCAGAGGCTCTCTGACGCTGGGCATGCTGCTGGGCTCAGGTACCGCTGCTACACTCTTGCTTTATTTTTTTGTTATGTGAGGGGAACACGACACAAGAGACAATGTACGCTCTCATACAAGCACCTTAAAGAGGCCCTATTACACTTTCTGGGTTTTCCCTTCAGCTCAGTGAGAGTCATGGTGGTATAACATTGTCTGGAATCTGTGCCTTATAAAGTTGTATGTGTGAAACGTGCAGGTCCCACTCCAGCGCTCCCCCCCGGCCCTCTGGCTCAGAGATCCCAGACAGAGTCGTGGGCCCAGTGGTCTCTGCGCAGTGGGATGCAGTCATTCCCAGAATCCCTCAGTGAGTTCCTCCAACAGAGCGGGAAAGTGCAGCTGCACAGAGACGCTGGCGTGCAGCACATCACTCATGCAGCCTCTGGGTGGAAGGTCAGTGAGGAGACTCAACCTTTAACTCTGCAGTGTTTGCTCTCCAGAGGGGCAGATCTGGAAATCTCCTTCTTAAGAGGGACGCATTCCAGATTACTGAACCTTTTTCAAACCAAAGGGTTAACGGAAAAATCTCTAAATGTGGGTTTAAAGAATATAGGAAGCATTAAATATGTTTTGTTTGTACATGTTGTACAAACATACATTGTCCCCTTTATGATGATTTGTTATAACATTAGTTAGCCCCTGACTTATCTAATACAATCATTAATGTTGTTACTTTGTGAAAGTCATAGTAGTCATTCAAATAAAGGGTAAAGTAAGAGTAAAAGAAAACAGGCTGTCTGACAGACACCCTGACTTCCTGCTCCTACACCACTTTAACTACATTATCTACAATACCATCTGTCCCTTTCAGCTTATTATTTGTTAACACAGTGTTGTAAGAACAAAAAGAAAATATGCTTTTTATTTAGGATATTTATTAGGATTCTCCTTGATTATTTTGTTTAGGTATAGTACTTGAAGCTAATTGAATTGATGTGAATTGCTATATTTAATGGTTATTCTGCATTGTGGTGCTACATATTTGTGTAATACACATCTAATGTCTTTCTAATACACGTTTTATTGTGATAAAAGACTATGGAAATAAGAAATGATTTCAAGGCAAGTGCATTAAGGATCCCCAACATGTTCTCTGTGTGTGTGTTTGTGAAGATCGAATTAGAGGATGGAGTCATTTCAGCTGACCACATCATCTCTGCAATGCCTGCTAAAGGTAATTTTTCTTACATGAACACAGAAGAGAATTCATGATATGCCAGACCAGAGGTCGCGTTAACCGAATATATTCCATCTATGACGGAATTATTTCGACAATGACGGAAAAATCTGAAAGCAGTCCATCATTTTGACGGATTACAACAAACTCAGAACAGCGCCAAAGTTTCCCCCGCAGCAGGGCTCCGGTGTTATGCCCTTATGTCGTTTCCAGACCTGACTATGCCGTACAAATCATTGAAATGTCTGGGAGTGTATGCTTTACGCTGTGAAGCGCTCCCGCGAGGTGCAGTGGGCATGCACAACACGGCATAATAACACCGGCGCTAATCCCCCCCCGTTGACAGTTCACGAGCGTGCTCTAATCCCCCCCGTCAGTTGTGTACAGACCGACGGGTAATAATGGATTTTGACGGAAATGTTACGATCCTGTCCGTCAAAATGACGGGCAGCGAAAAAGTCTAGCGCAACCTCTGTTCCAGACAGACAGATACACACACACACACACACACACACACACACACACACACACACACACACACACACACACACACACACACACACACACACACACACACACACACACACACATTGTGCTCCACAGTGGGTCTCATGATGACTCACAAACTCAGCCACATACAGTGCATCTGGAAGTACAACCTTCCTTTTTTCCCAATTTGTTATGTTACAGTAGGTTTTGTTCTCAATGTCCACACACAAAACCCCATAACGACAAAGCGACGTTTTAAAGATTATGCCGTGTTAAAAATCCATCATCATCCTTCTCCGCTTTTCCGTGGTGACACACACTCTATGCTGACACACACTCTATTATCTAACACATATGGA